AAATACTGCGTGTTTAAACTTAACGTACGCATGACTTTACCTTTCTGAAAAACATTCTGAACTAGAAATATCACAGTAAAATTTTGGTGGTGTGATTTCACGCAAAACATATTCATGAGATGTTGACTATCTACACCTTCTACCATACAATCGTCTATAACCAATAATTTATGTCCATCGATTTCACCCCATTCATCGACCAGAAGCTCCACATACCATGATACGACACGGTGATTGAAATTTGACGAGACTTTCTCCGACATACCATTCCATGATGCTTAACTGAATGACGATACAACAACACATACTTCAGTTTTATAATGTTTTATTCTCTACCGGAATACATGTACAATACATCGTCGATACTACTTAAAAATCCTCCAACATATTCAAAAATAATGAAATGAATTTTGTGATCTTCTAAATAATGTCTCTCTAAAATTTCATAATTTCTTAGGTAAAGAGTTGTACGTATAGAAAGCTCTGGGTATACATTCCTCAATCTAGTACAAATTGCCTTTAACAGTTCATATCCAAAACACATTCGATGAGGAACAAGTATGAAACTTACTTTAAAATCAATAATAGATTTTATACATTGTCCTTCGGGTATATCGACAAGTTCATTGTTCAATCGGAAGAATACACGATATGGCATCTTCACTCATACAAAATCTTCCCAAATGTTTGAAGGTTAAGAAATTTGAATATATGCCTGTTGTTGAGCTTGGCGAGGTTGAATTGACACGTCTTGTTGAAGCGGAACCTGCTGGAGGGTTTGAGCTGGCATGGCTTGTTGAAGCGGAACTTTGCAAGTATGCATTGAAAGCGATATTTTCTGTGTTAATGATAAATAAACACAGTTTAGGGGGTACCGGAAGTTGGTATATATTTATTTATTTATTTACGTCTAAACTCATTGCATATTACATCCATAGCTGCCTAAATCAACATTAGAATACACACGTGTTAAACATATTTGTCAACACTATAAATATTTAATTTACATCAGTAAATTATCACATAATTTATCTAAAATATAAACTTATAAATAAACCATATCTTTGCTAAAATATACTCATTTTATCATGTAATCATATAAACATATTCATGCGATAAAGCAGTTAGAAATATCATAATCAGTATGTAGATTGGTGTAGATTATGTGTCTTCCAGTTTTCCATTTAACTGCAATGTCCTCAGTCTAGATAACAGAGAAATGTATAAGCAGAGACGTATATATTACGTTTCTGGTATAAGGATCAATTTCAAGCAAAAGATAAATAAATAAAATGTGTAACCACTGCCAAAGAGTCACATTATATGCAAATCAAAGTCAGTACAACTGCATCACCGGACAGATGAAAGTCAGTAACAAGGCAAATAATGCTGGACCCTGTTATGCACATTATATATTACTAATCTTTGTGAGACTTGAACGGACCGGTTCTCCCTCTGCAATATTTTTTTTTAAATTGGTGTGTTTATCTATTATGTGTTAAATTCCATGGATTGCATAGAGAATAACAAAATATTTCAAGATTTTATAACTGGGGGTTAAAGTAATCGGGTTGCTACTCAATTTGAGCATAAATTATTGTACCGGTGCAATTAACATAAGGTTTTTCTGCACGTTTTGTCTTGTTGAAATGATGACGTTAGAGTTGATTAAAGTTTAACTTTGAAATTTAATAAGAGATAACTTTTGACTTGACGGCGGGATATTCTGGAGTGTCCAAAATAAACCCGATGTGTTCCGTACAGAGTCTAGAACCTAACTGATTTACAATACAACATATCACAGTTAAATACATGTACGTACAATAAAGGTACCTGAGGTTTAAGTGACAGGTGTCGCTTATTGTTAGATCAATTACCCGTGGTCAGTGTTCACAAGGTAAAGGCTATTACACTAATCCTGTTGTGTAATGTTGCGTAATGTGATTGACAAAAGTAATGAGTTATGAAAGTAAGTTTACAGAGAGTACGTACTTAGGGATATAAAAACTTCACACATGAGTCTTATCTCAAATGTCACAAAGTATATATAGTCATTACAATTAAGGATAATGCCACATGTATATAGCCAAATTATGTCTAAATGTCATATAAACGTGTGTTGCATTAATTCGCACTTGAGTTGTTAGATATGGACAATTCGAAATATAAATTTAATAATAGATGGTAAGATAAAAGTTTTTCATGAATAAGCAATTATTTACACAATTAATTTCAGCACTAATTTATCACAAAATTTCTGTGTGATACATGTACATATTATAAAGAAAGGGGTGGGGTGCGCTTACGTTAATTTGACTCAATTTTTACTCAATTGCTTTGTAAATACAGGTAGAAAAAAACCATGACCAATGGCCAGGCCGATACCTTGGCATTTGAAGATTACAAGTTTCAAGTTTTTTGGTTTCCTCAGAAACATTACAATGTACAATATGAAGTACAGAGGAGCGACACCCAACTACAAAGCCAGTCAATTTTACCGTTACGCGACCGAGCAATTCTTTTGATGTACAACAAAGTATCAAACTAGTCTTCTCGTCTCATCTATACAAGGTGGTGCACACTGAGCCCTCGATGTTGTCATGACAAATTCCAGGGACACAGAGAGCGTAAGTGAGCCTTACCCCTGGAATATCGAGGATTGAGCAAAGTAGCCATTGTGTATGCTGTGTCAGATGTATACATTTTGACGTACAGCAGGTTGCACAATTACAAATTACAGTTGAAGGAGGAGAACATTTAGACATGTTAGCCTGTGTGGAAAATGTACATTGTAATGAGCGAAATTTAATCTTGTATGTGATTTTTCAAATTGATTTATTGGAATGCGTGAACAGTGTGATAACTCTGAGGGTAACAACACCAATGTCAATGTATGACTAAATGGCAAGTGACATCACGTCATTATACAATGTAGTATAATCTGAGCGCGCTTTCATGATCGGGCTTCAGTCAAATAAAAAAATAATATATACGGATTATTTTATTATATGTATGTTATTTTATGTACTTAATCAATATGTGCTTTATAACTTACATATCAGATGGTACTTATACGGGTAGCGTTATATTATCACACTTTTCCTTCACTTCTTAACCGTTATCTTCACGTTCAACTCGATCAATGTCAAAATTGGTTTCGCTTGTCATATACAAATCGTGACCATATGAATGTCAAATAAATGAGCTTTACATATGTCTATATTCATTCCGATAGCTCTGAAAACACATGTTTTACAAAGCCAACCGTGTGTCATAAACGTCAAATCTAAAACGAAATGACGTCAAAATTATGTTACTCTATTGTGCGTCAACATCTGACGTTACGTCATTGTTTATAGGTGATCATCAAATTTTCTAGAGATCAATTAAATAATAAAAGGTATAATATTTACATTCACTAGATTAACGAATTATGTAAAAATACGGATTCATTTAGATAGCATCCGCATGTGTGTTCGGACACCCGCATACAGCACATCATTTGCCTTCTCAGTAGGAACACATTTCTCAATAAAATGGTAAAAACAAAATAAATGTATGTAATACTTTAAATATTACCTACACAAGTAAGTGACGACGGAATATATCATATAAGTAGCTAAAAAGCTCGCATATCGAACGCACGATCAAAGCTTCCCGGTATAGGGCTGTTTTGGCAGCGTTGAACTTGTGACAGTCACAGATGTGGGCTACCAATATCGAGGCGATCGCCGCTGAGCTAAAGGGGTGTTTTTCAGATAAATCACAATATCTCGGAAACGGAATCAACTACGACGTTCGCACTTTCTTAGCCTTTGATTGTATTAAACGAAGTATGTTCATAGCTTGATATAGCAAAACGTTCAGGGTACATTTCTTGGGTGCGGTTAGAAGGAGGGGCGGCATTATTTCGAGAAATAGTGTTAACCACTGAAACATCTAATTTATACTTCCTAAATTCTCAGATTAAGTTAATCTACATGACGCCTTATCACAAGAAGAAGAAGATATAATATTACTACACGGCGCGATAGGTACAAACAAACAACTGTAGCAAATTACCGGGTCCCTGTGCCTGAAACCACAGGTAGTAACCTTGTGGTCTTTACCTTCGAACTAACAATAGCCGCAGGTAACAGGGGTGACCACACGTTTAAACAATAATAAATGTAAGGCCGGGTAAAAGCAAAGACCAGATGATAGTTGGGATTAAATCACTGTTTAGGATAGTGAAATCAGTGCTGTTTGTGCAACATACTTTTCAAAATGACTGTCAAGAGAAAGCAATAAAAAAAACTTTGGTTCAAGGCTGTTTTAAGGAGAGAATTACACAAGTAATTCAGATTCTGACAAATGAAAATGTGTAACTTGAGGGTACAGCACGGAATTAGATTATTTGAGTCCGTGGGTACAGCAATGAGTATGACTAAGCGTAACAGGGTGCATAGATTGTATACATGTATGTTGTGTTGTAAGATGTATAGATAAGATACATATAACTAACGCTCCGGCTTCAATATCATTCATATAAATACTGATTTAAATTATCAAATAATACCACTAAAGAGAATATCATAAGAATTATACCTGTTTGAGAAATAAGTACAGAATGACGATTTTAAGAAAAACAAAAAAAAACATTACACGGAATTCGCTTGCAGCATTTCAGTTGGATTTGTAAGATAATACAGGAATAATACTCTATGCTAACACATCACATTCACTTGTTTTATACATATGACGATATTTATATCCAATATTTTCCAAACACAAGTTTCATATTTCATCTCCTTTTGAACATTTGCGATCGCCTAGTTTAAATTAAAAAAACATTGGTTTCCGCCGTCACATTTTATCCCAACAGAGGGCGCGCGTGTACTATAGGTACTATAGGTTGTAACTCTCCTGTGTGGAGGAGCGCTTGCTATACATTCCTTGACGATCGTCAACAAACTAAGAAAACAGAATGCCACAATATTGTTGTGTTCCTTTATGTAGTGGGTCAGGGGGGCATCGATTTCCGAAAAACGAAATGCATTTTTTTGCATTTTTTATTATAAAGCCACAAACCATATTCACCTCAAATCTTGACAGAGAAAATATTAACTTGTTTGTATATTAAGAGTCTATTCTAACAGTCCATTAGTACAATGAGAAAACATTGAAATTTGTGTGAGGTGTTTACCTTATTTTTCATAGCTGCACCAACCATACCACTAAAATAAATGTTGTTTCCTTCCATTAGAACAGAACAAGCTAATATTCTGTCACTGTCTAGCAAGTCTTTGCCTTTCCTTAGGGCTTTAACATCTGCAGAGGCATTTTTATCTCCTGAAAGCAGCAGTTTTACTTCAATTTTAAGGTGTCAAGAATAATGTTGTAAACATTAATGTTACCAATAAATGGGAAATTCTGATCTTCACTCATTCTGCAAGTAAAATCTGGTAAAAAAACCAGGCTTTTCCATATGCTTCAATGAAGAGTTCACAATAATATCTTTCATTTAAAATGTTTATTTAAATAAAATTGCACAAAATTCTATGCACAAAATTGTTATTGCTGATCAGGTAGGCCCATATGGAGTCAATATGAACATGCATCATCTTTATAAAGGGTACTTTAAAATATGTACCTGCAAGTCTGTACAAAAAGTACTCCTCAATTTGAAAACTTGTCAGCTTTGGGAGTATCACTTTGTGATTCTGGACCAGTTGATGGTACCCCATGGCAGGCCACTGTGCGTCCACTTGGTTGGGAAGCTTTATAGGTTGCGTTTGAAAATTAAAATTTCTGTCATATGACTTTAATCTGAAATTCAAAGGAGGTCCACAAATTTATTCAAGCTAATCATACAGTGAACCCATGTTCTGACTATGGTAATGAGGCATATAATATGTACAGTTATTTTAATTTGAAAATATTATTCAATAATACATAGTTATATATATATTACAAATTATGTACAAACATATATATATATATATATAAAGTAAAAAAAATATGTTTGTTTCCTGTTACAACCTGTATGTTTAAAAAATATGGGTAGCTCTGTAGAAAAGGGTATAATTATGGAAACAAACAAACAATCTGACTTAGCCTAAACCATCCCGAACTCATGGGATGAGGGGCAGGTAGTAAGATACATGTACAGTGGCGGATCCAGAGACCTACCTGAAGGGGATTCCGAATTTCCAGGGGAAAAGTGTAGAAAATTGAGGAAAATGCTGAAAATACATGATTTTGAAAGAAAATTCTCAGGGTGGGGGTTTCTTGAAGCCAAAAAACCCTCTGGATCCGCCACATGAAGTATATACTGGTTGACAGATATGTCTTTCCCATTACGGTACAGTACGTACGTAGTAGTCTCCGGTCTGTTACCGGTACGCTACATATCGGATACGCTGGATGTAGGCGGTTGGGAAACTTATTGATGACAAATCGTATCTATTTAAAGCAATATACTTATTACCTTTCTACTAGATCCACCTTTCTGCCGCGTGTAACTGCTCCTCGTCTAATGAGCTCTTGCTTTAGCTTTCCGACTGACCAGATGAAATATTTGTCCGCCATGTTGGCTTCTGTAGCAACATATAGTACACGCGCGCCCCCTGGTGAGTAGTGTCGCGGCGGAACCCATTACACGTACGTTATTTAGTTTGGGTTGTTTAATATTTTTCGACAAATTGATTAAATATTTTTTTAGCAACAAATTCAGAATTTGAGACTAAAAAAACAAACTACCCACTAGACGTATCCATATGTATTGTTGATGTCGAAGAGCCATTGTTCAAGACTATTCCCGTAACTTCACCTTGAAATAATATTTGGGGAAAATATAGAAATTAAAAAAAAAAAGATAAGTGAGAAACCACCAACATCAAATATAATTTTAATCTTATGAATTCATAAAAAGGAATGTGTTTTTGGTTGGGAAGACATATGCTTCAATGAGCGGGTTTGTAGAGTTTGTTTGTTATTAAAAAATGAAAGGGTTTGCAGATTTTGTTTGGTTACACACCGTGAGAGGATTTGTAGATTTTGTTTGGTTACACACCGTGAGAGGGTTTATAGATTTTGTTTGGTTACACACCGTGAGAGGGTTTATAGATATTGTATGGTTACACACCGTGAGAGGATTTGTAGATTTTGTTTGGTTACACACCGTGAGAGGGTTTATAGATATTGTATGGTTACACACCGTGAGAGGGTTTGTAGAT